TTCTTCTTCTTCTTCCCCCGCCCTGAGCCTGCCTTGGTAGGAAGGGCGGGGTGTAAATCAAATAAATAAATACATAAAATAATAAATTCTTCTTCTTGGCCGCTGGCAATCTTATTGGCTGTGCAGATGTCTTATAAGTTGCTTTGGCCACCATGGCACAAGGATCCTTCGCTGCCCGACTGAAGGTGTGGGCAAGACCGTGTTCTCTAAACAGCATGTTAGTTCTAAAAAGCATCCTACGGAAGAGCCTCTGCTTTGAATGCCGAAGGTCCCAGCTTCAATCTCTGGCGTCTCCAGTAAAAAGGACCGGGTGGGAGGTGATGCGAGACCCTAGAGAGCCACTGGTGGTCTGTGCAGCCAGTACTGACCTAGAAGGACCGACGGTCGGATTCCGCATCAGGCGGCTTCATGTGCGTGTTCTCTGAAATGGCGCATCTGCCTGAAACGCTGAAGCTATTGGGAGGGGGAACGTGCAGATCTGTCCTCGCAGAACTTGTACCTGAATAAAACCTTGGGTCAGTTAAAAACTATTTCAGAGCTGTTCTCTCAAGGTCAGTCCTCGAAAGAGCTCTCTGAGCCCCACCTACCTCACAGGGTGCCTGTTGAGGGGAGGGGAAGGGAAAGGAGTTTGTAAGCCGAGGCTCTGAGACTCCTCCGGGTAGTGAAGGGCGGGGTATAAATCCAATCTCTTCCTCTTCCTCTTCCTCGTCTTCTTTCTTCTTCTTCTTCTTCTTCCTCTTCCTCGTCTTTCTTCTTCTTCTTCTTCTTCTTCTTCTTCTTCTTCTTCTTCTTCTTCTTCTTCTTCTTCTTCTTCTTCTTCTTCTTCTTCTTCTTCTTCTTCTTCTTCCAAGAGGCACACCCTTAAAATCCCTTGCAAGGCTGCAGAGGATACTGGGCCGATCTCTCCGGTCCCAAGGAGCCGCTCTTGGAGTGGGCTGACCCAGCTGCTCTGCCCAGAGGTTGGCCTGGCCCCGCTCCAAAGCGTCTCCCCTTCCCTCCTCTCCTCTCCTGCAGAACGGCCTTTGCACTACAGCGAGAAGGTCCTTCCCATCGTGCACAGCTTGGGGAAGGACAGCTACCTGGTGGTGAAGAGACAAATGGCCATGGAGCACATGCTGGTCTACACAGGTAAGGTGGGCAGGGGTTCTTTGGAAAGGGACGGGATACAACGGCCAACATTGCAATGCCCCCTGTATAGATCTATGGGACAGCCTCTTTTTTTTTTTTAACCTGTTTATTTAGAGGAAGTATAACATATCAAGAACAGTGTTCCCTCTAAGCTGAGTTAGTGTGAGCTAGCTCACAGTTTTTTAGCCTCCAGCTCACACATTTTAGTCTCAGCTCAGGAAGGGATGGCTCCAGAGCAAACTAATTTATGCAGTATCCAAATTGCTTGCTCCCAATTTCAATGCCAGTAGCTCACACACTAGAATTTTTGCTCCCAAGACACCACAGTTTAGAGGGAACATTGACCAAGAAATATAATAACTGCAAAACAGTATACAACTGTCCTGAAAATCCAAAATTACAAAGCAACCAGTTCTGGTCCCCGTACATTGCAGAGGAGGGGCGACCAAGAGGATGAGGGGGTTGGAGCACCTTCCCCAGGAGGAAAAGCTGAAGAGTCTCTGGGACTTTTTCAGTTCAGAAAAGACATAACTTAAAGGGGACATGGCAGAGGTTTATAAAATTATCCACAGGGTGGAGAGAGTTGACCAGGAGAGCTTTTTCTCCTTCTCCCCCAAATACTCGAGGGCATCCGGTGCAGCTCATGGGCAGTAGGTTCAGGACGGACGAAAGGAAATACCACTTTACGCAGAGGATGACTAAAATGTGGGATTCGCTGCCAGAGGGCGTCGTGATGGCCGCGGGAATAAACAGCTTTCAAAGGGGATTGGACAGGTTCATGGAGGATAACGTCTGTCAGTGGCTACGAGCCATGGTGGCTGAGGGGAACCTCCACAGTCAGAGGCAGTCAACCTCTGAATCCCAGAGCCAGGGGTTAACATCAGGGGAAGGCCTTGGCCTCCCTGCCCTGTTTGTTGTCCATCCAGAGGAACTGGCTGGCCCCTGTGTGAGGCAGGAGGCTGGACTGGATGGACCCTCCCTGGTCTGACCCAGCAGGGCTCTTCTGAGGTTCTTATCAGGGGAAGGCCTCGGCCTCTCTGCCCTGTTGCTGG